AGGCGGCGGAGGGCAGCCGGCGTCTGGAAGACCACGGCCTCAAGGTGGAACATGTCTACCAGGTACCAGGTGGCACCCAGGGGCTTGTGTCCTCCCCTCCCACCCTTCCTGGTGCCTACTGTCCCTGTGCCACCTCGCTCCCCTCCTGCAGCTCCACAACAAGGGCCCCAGCACTGTGAGTGGCGTCACCCTGCACCTTGCCGTGCCCAGCCAGCTCCAAGGCAGCCTCCTGCTCTACCTGCTGGAGCTGGGCACCGAGGGTGGCATGAGCTGCGCTGAGCCCCCCGGCCTCAACTCGAAGCAGGTAGGCAGGGAGCAGGGTGATGTTCCAGGGTGGGTGCCCACAGGGTGCTCAGCGGGAACCATGGCTGCCTCTGCTTCTCCTTCCAGCTGGAGATCCCCCGGCCCACAGGCACCTGGGCCCGCAATGCCAGCCACCAACGGGAGCGCAGGGCAGTGGATGAGCAGCCCCCAGCTGTCCTGGGGGAGCCCATCCATGTGGTGAGCGGGGAATGTTCTCAGGGCCACATGGAGGGTGGGTACCCTGTCACTGCAGGCACCAGGCAAGGTCTCGCAGCACTCTCCTGGGCCATGGGTGCACCAAGCTGGAGGTGCCGCCAGGAGTCAGAGGATGCTCCAGGCCAGCAGTGGATGCCATGGGCAGCTGGATGCCCCAGGCATGGCAGGGCAGAGGATGAGGTGGGAAGAGCAGACCCAGGGGTTGCTCTTGGATGGGCTGAGCCATGTGTCGGGCACTGCTTGGGGTGTGTTGGCATTGGGCACGCAGCTCCGTATGCTGCTGGCCTTGCCCGGCCCCCTGGTCTATCATGGGAAAGAAGCGGGTGCCCGGGGGTGATGGGCCCGTCGTCTCCTGGCAGAACTGCAGCGCTGAGCCATGTGTGAGCATCGTGTGCAAGGTGCAGAGCCTACCTAAGGACCAGAGGGCGCTGGTGAGCGTCCATGCCCTGCTCTGGATGGACACCTTGCACAAGGTACCATGCCCATGCGTGCCAGGGCCCTGAGGTGTCACTGACAGCATCCCTGTGGAGCAGGTACCCTGAGCCATGCCACGTGCCCTTCTGGTATAGTGGTCCCTGAAGGGTGACACCAAGCAGCTGGGGCCACCATGGCAGGAGCCCATGGGTGGCTTCTGGCACCATGTGCCCAGCAGGATTTGCTTAGCTCAGGTCTTGAGGCTGTTGCAGAGCTGTGGACCCAGGTGTCTGGGCCCCACAGAGGGCACCTGTGGGGACGCTGGGTGCGGGACTGTGGGTGCCAGCACCTCTTATGCCAACTCACGTCTGTGCCCAGCGCGAGCATCTCCTGAAGCAGTTCCTCATCCAGTCCCGGGCCTGGTTCAATGTCTCCAGCATGCCATACCGCATCCAGCCCCATATCCTGCCTGCTGGAGAGGCCACGGTAGGGCTGGTGCAAAAGGCCTAAGGAGGCTGGCACCCACCTGGGGGGGTGGCACGTGCCTACCTGGGCTGGATGCCAACTTGGGAAGTGGGGCTGCATTTGGAGTGACTGGGGATGGTCGTGGCAGCTGTCTGGGCCACCCCGGTGAGCACCCACCCTGTCCCTGCGCAGGCTGTCACTGAGGTGGTGCGCATGAGCCCCAGCACTGAGAAGGCTGTGCCGGTGTGGTGGGTGGTGCTGGGTGCCCTGGCTGGGCTCCTGCTCCTCGCCATCTTCATCTTCGTCATGTGGAAGGTGAGCAGGCCGGGAGCAGGGTGCTGGTGCTGCTGGGCACCCCGGGGTGGGGGGCAGAGATGGGCATAAACGTAGCCCTGGAAGACACATCCAGAGGGTCCTCTGTGACCGGGGTGTCACCATATCCCTCTTCCAGATGGGGTTTTTCAAGAGGACCCGTCCGCCTACAGAGGAGGACAAGCAGGAGCTGACACTGGGCCAGGTGCAGGGGCCTGGGGGTACCCAGGGCTAGTGGGAGGCATGTGCCCCCCATGCACCCCTGCCCAGTGGGGACACCCCCACTGCAAGCCCACACAACCTAGTGGCTCCGAGTGGCAGGGTACGTCGTGACCCTGCTCCTGTGGCATGCACCGCCTGAATCCCCATTCCTGTCCCAACCTCGATGCCCCCAACACCCTTGGGTGCCTATGGGGCATGCTACCCCCCCCCTGATGCCCCCCCCATGGCACCTATGGGACACACTACCCCACTGCAGCCTCCTGGAGAATAAACCCCTTCCTGGCACCGTGGTGTTTCCATCCGTGGTGATGTGGGGACAGGCGCCTATGTCATGGGGGCTCCCAGAGGGGACAGGACACATGTTGGGGGGGCATGGGGCAATAGAGACAGGAGGTGGGTGAGCATCCTGCTGCTCACTCTGCCCCGGGGGGGGTGCCTGGCCAGGACCCAGG